TCAGTATTCAAAATTTAATTTAAATCAGTCCATAATTTTTTCTCACCCAAACAGAGCCCTTCACCCGAACAGGTTCATACCTATTGGAAGTCCACCCGAATAGGTTAACTGCCACCAGAACAGATTTGTTTCAGGTATACACATTTATATCTGTTACCAAACAGATTTGTTCTGAACTGGTGTCTTACCTGTTGGTAGCCACAAATTCAAAACCGAACAGGTGCTTGGTTGCCTATATATAGCTTATCTGTCCAACAATTCATTCATTCAATTTTCATCAGAATTTTCGTCCTCTTTCCTATGTCTTCTCTGCATTTTTTCTGCACTTATATTAGGAAGAAAAAGAGAGAGTTACAACTGAGTTTTGGTTCGCCAAACTTGGTTTTGTAGTGCTGCAAAATCAAAGTATAGTCGTTGCATCCTGGGAAGTAGACATCGGTAAATCTCGAAACACCGAAGCGAAGACGAAATCTACTTTAAGGAGATTGTGTCCAACACAAGTCTCGACGTTTAATTCTGTAAGCATTTAATTCGGAAAATAATTTATAATTATAATTATTTTCTGAGTTATTTTATTTATTATTTATTTTATTTTCACATTTAATTTACACACACATACCACCGTGGGTATAACACTATTTTCAAAGTAGAATTTATTATTGGATAACTATTAATAGGTCTTAATAGTTGGAATTAATTCTTATCAAATCCTATTGAAAATAAATTTTAATAAAATTATTGCAAAAAAATAATTTTTTTTAATGATTTTTTTGCATATGTCGCAAAAAAATTGACAATTAGTGAGTTTTTTTGTAACAAAATTTTCAAACTATTGCTGAAAGTTAAAAATTAATGATTTTTTTGTAACAATTTTTTTAAACCATCGCTAAAATTTATTATTAGTGATTGCGATAATATTTGTAAACTCACACTGAAAATTAATAATTAGTGATGTTTTTCAATAATGTTTGATGAAAAACGTCATTAATTCTCATAAAACTTATCGAACAATAAACTACCTATTGTAACCTACACGTAAGTCTCCCTTTATTTTTTTCACCGTTAAATTCCCTCTTACGCCTCTTTCCTCTTCCAATACATCAAACCACCACCTCACACATCCCTTTCTCTTCGTCTCATCTCGACCAAGCCCATCACAACCGCCACCCCAACTTTACTACATTTTTCCTCTTCCCTTCTCCTATCTTCTTCTTGTCATCTTTGTCACCACATCAACACTTTTAGCATCCACCACGGGCACAATCCAAATCAACATCCCACAAGTAAACACTATCAAATTAAATATCATATTTCTTTCAAATCACTCATCTCTTCTTATACAATAAAAATTAAAGAAAAAGAGAATTTGATCAAAAAGGCGTTAAATATTATCAACTCATATTCTTTAAACATAAACAGCAATCCAAATGTGACAAGCATGAACTAAATCTTTTATATCATTATTTTTCCCCACTTCCAAGAATAATTTCACGATCAGACTCAATACATGTAAATTATGAGAAGCCATACCACACTCAACATTTTATGATCAAACTCAATTGCGCTTTTCACATTACTATTGTGTAAAAGCTTACAAATCACAGCATTCAAAAAAACTCACATCAAACTTGGTCATGCTAATGAAAATATTCATTATTCCTCTTATCTTCCTATTTTGTTCATTGCGAGTAATCATTGTTTTCCAAGAAACAAAACATCTTTCGTATTTAAGTTAAATTTGGAAAGACTAAATAAGTGTACTTTTTGACTTTTCTTGTATTATCTGTAAAAAAAGTAGAGAGGAGATGTTGATTGATGTGACTCAAAAAAGAAAAAAATGAAATAAGTGCACTTTTTTAGTTTAGCCAAACTTGACCTTAGTCAAAAAAGTAGAATTCATCCTCAATATACCTACTTTCATAGTATGATATATACATCACGATATCATCAAATTCCATGACAAGTCATATTTCTCAACTAGTTGATCAAATAATTTATGTCGTTTAGCCATCTATGGGTCCGTTTGAGAAAGGCTTTTCCGGGTTTTTTTTAGTTATTTTAACCACAAAAGACAAAATAAGCTATTTTAGTCACAAAAAACAAAGCATCACATTTAATTCATAATCATTACACTCTTCTCTCACAAAAAAAATTAAAAAAGTAAAAAAATCAAAAAACTCTTCCCAAACTAAATTTTTTAGTTCAGATTAAAATAATCAAAAAAATTAAAAAATTAAAAAGTCAACCGACTTCTCAAACGGAGGCTATATACATTAGACATCCCTCATAATCATCAAATTTCCCACCCTCATGATATACAATATTTTAAAATATTTTAGTATATACCGTAAAGAGTACACATCATAAAAATTCATTTATAAATAATATCCAACAAAAAAGGAGGAAAAAGGCTTTAAACAATAGAATCTAAAAGTAAAAGAAAAAGGGTAAATTACGCTGACACGCCGGAGATTTATATTTGTTACACTTTTTTTCTCATCTTTTAAAAATTATATCTCACTCTAAAATTTAAAATTTTATTACAGATTCTTTCTCGACAATTTAATTTTTTAAATACTAATTTTACCTTCACTGGATAAATTATAAATTTTTTAAATACTAATTTTACCTTCACTGGATAAATTATATTGATACTTCTCAAATTTTAGAAATTATAATCTCCTTCCGAAAATTTAAAGTAGAATAATCAATTGCACCCTCGATTAGTATTAGTTCGAAAAAAAAAATTCATTGAACAAAAGAATTATTTTTAAAAAAATATTAATTGAAAAAAAATTTGTTAGTAAAATTTTTAAATTTTTATTTAAAAACCAATGTAAACTCATTTTTTGAATTTACGTTTTTTTCTCAAATTTATAAACTGAGACAACCATTTATAAACTAAAAAAATTATCAAACAAATTTTTATGGCAGTTTTTAAAATTTTTGTAAATATAAATTGAAAATTGAAAACGAAATGGTTACCAAACAGGTTTCAGATGGTAAAAATGACGTAAAATTAACAAATAATTAAATAAGTTACTAACGTAAGAAATGACTTATCAAAAGATTCTTAGGCTATATATAGTTTGATTTTTAGAAAAAAAAAATAAAAATAAAAAATTAATTTAGTTAAGAAATAAAAAATAAAAAATAATTATCATTTTTATATAATTTTTATCTTTCAAGTGATTAGAAATAATTTTTCACAAATTAAATTCAAATAGCCATACGTATATATAACCTGCCCAAAAGTTAAAATGATAATTATTTTTTATTTCTTATTTCTTAACCAAATTAATTTTTAATTTTTTAAAAAAATTTCTAAAAATCAAACCATACATAGCTTAAGAATCGTTTGATAAGTTATTTCTTACATTGGTAACTTATTTAATTATTTGTTAATTTTACGACATTTATATCATCTGAAGCCTATTTGGTAACTATTTTGTTTTTAGTTTTCAATTTATATTTACAAAAATTTTAAAAATTGTCATAAAAACTGGTTTGATGATTTTTTTAATTTATAAATTATTGTCTCAGTTTGTAAATTTGAGAAAAAATATAAATTCAAAAAATGAATTTACGTCGATTTTTAAACAGAAATTTAAAAACTTTACTAACAAATTTTTTTTTCAATTAATTTTTTTTTCAATGAATTTTTTTTTTCCACCTAATACTAACTGAGTAGACAATTAGTAATACTATTTTAAACCTTAGAGAGGGGATTATAATTTTTTAAATGTGAGGGGTGTCAATGTAATTTACCCAGTGAGGGCAAAATTAATATTTAAAAAAATTAAATTGTGGAAGAGGAAATCTATAATAAAACTTTAAATGGAGATATAATTTCTAAAAGATGAAAAATATAGCTATAATAAACATAAATCTCAGAATTTATCATTATTATTCAGCCAAAGAAAAATTATTCAATATAATTAGTGACATTACCCAATAACATTTGAGATCATGTATTTGTGTAAATTCCACATCAGCAATGATTTAGATCCTTTCAAACTTCAACCCCCACCACCCCCACACACACGTGACGGGTGATGATTAGAGAAAAGGGAATAAAAAAAAAAAAAAAAAAAAAAAAAAAAGGTGACCAAAAAAAAAAAAAAAAAAGGGTCAAAAAAGAGAGAAAAAGGGCATTCCAATCTTTATTCATTCTACATATATTGCGGTGGGCTCCGCACAAAGGTGTCGTATGTCTCATTTGTTACTGGGATAATGTCACTTCTTTTCATAGAGAATTGTCGACTCCTGACAAAAAATGGAACAAACAGATTAAAGATTGGAATCTTGCAAACTTCGGACAGATGTAAAAGATACAAAATTTCTATTGTTTTCCCACCATTTATTATTTTTTATTTTTTATTTCTTAACCAAATTAATTTTTAATTTTTTAAAAAAAATTCTAAAAGTCAAACCATACATTATAGCCTAAGAATTTTTTGATAAGTTATTTCTTACATTGATAACTTATTTAATTATTTGTTAATTTTACGACATTTATATCATTTGAAGCCTATTTGGTAACTATTTTGTTTTTAGTTTTCAATTTATATTTACAAAAATTTTAAAAATTGTCATAAAAACTTGTTTGATGATTTTTTTGATTTATAAATTATTGTCTCAGTTTGTAAATTTGAGAAAAAAATGTAAATTCAAAAAATGAATTTACATCAATTTTTAAACAAAAATTTAAAAAATTTACTAACAAATTTTTTTTTCAAATAATTTTTTTTTTCAATTAATTTTTTCTTCAATGAATTTTTTTTTCCAACTAATACTAATCAAGTAGACAATTGGTAATACTATTTTAAACCTTAGGGAGGGGATTATAATTTTTAAAATGTGAGGGGTGTCAATGTAATTTACCCAATGAGGACAAAATTAATATTTAAAAAAATTAAATTGTGGAGGAGAAAATCTATAATAAAACTTTAAATGGAGATATAATTTTCAAAAGATGAAGAATATAACTATAATAAATATAAATCTCAGAATTTATCAGTATAATTCACCCAAAGAAAAATTATTCAATATAATTAGTGACATTACCCAACAACATTTGAGATCATGTATTTGTGTAAATTCTACATATATTGTGGTGGGCTCCGCACAAAGGTGTCGTATGTCTCATTTTTTTTTTTTTTTTTGGTTATCCACCCGGTATCCGACCCACTTTGGGCCGACTAATCCGGATTCAGGAGAGCAGTTCTGGATGGTTAGACTCAAGCCCCCTCCCAATTGGCGTTGCGGGGGATCGAACCGTAGTCCTCCCTACCAAGTCGAGCTCCAATCGCCACTCGACCAACAACCAATTGGTGTCGTATGTCTCATTTGTTACTGGGATAATGTCACTTCTTTCCATAGAGAATTGTTGACTCCTGACAAAAAATGGAACAAACAGATTAAAGATTGGAATCTTGCAAACTTCGGACAGATGTAAAAGATACAAAATTTCTACTGTTTTCCCACCATTTTAAAGGTGATCTAATGAAGCCAGACACCCATTTCTCAGGGTATCTAATGGGAAGAAATTTAATTTCTTCATAATACCCATTGCAATTCCTCCAAATTGTCAATGTATATAGAGGACTTTCACCTTACGTGAATCCTTATCTTCTTTGTAACATTGCATGAACCAACTCAAAAATGGAGTTCCAAGTGGATGGTTTCCATATCCCTTCATCCTCTTGAACAATGAAGAGTTTAGTAAATATTATAAGTTCTCTCAAAACAGTAAATTTAGAAATCTAAAACGATCTCATAAAACTTTTCAGTATATTTCCTTAAAATGATTCCTTGAAAAACAAAATTCAACTGCAACAAACCAAAAAAAAAAATTACTTTAAAATACCTTACATGTAAGCTATACAAATCTGTCCTATCTTACCATAAATCCGAACATGTGGCATACCATTTTATCATTTCCATTCCACGTACCAGAAAGATCCGCGGTGCAGGAAATCTAGGCTTACACTCATTTTCAATTCCTCCAATTGATCAATGTATTTAGAGTAATTTGGCCTTTTCTTTGAATTCCTCATCTTCTCTCTTTCATTCCATGAACCAACTCCAAAAAGGAGTTCCAAGATCATGGTTTCCATCTCCATCCTTCCTCTTGATCAATGAAGAGATATACAAACATTACAAGTTCTCTCAATCACCTTAGCATGTCTCCAGAATTCAATTTAGGTCCACTCAACGCTGGCGATATACTGAAGGTATTCCCATCCCTGCAAAAAGAAGGATGCCCAAGAGGCATCGGCCTATCAGGGATTGCAGGAACCTCAATATCTCCTTCCAACATTTTCAATGCATCCAAAATGGTCGGCCTCAGAGCCACCATCACATGAGCACACAAAATCCCAACAAGCACAAATCTTTCCATGATAGCCTTTGGATTCGAACTTGCTGAATTTCCATCTCCCAACAAAGAACTATCTAAAACCTTCTCTATTTTCCCTGCCTTCACCAATGACCAAGTCCAATCTGTGATCAGAAATGCCCGTGGCGATCCATTGGAAGACAAATCAAGAGCTTTCCTTCCACACATTATCTCCAAAACAACCACCCCAAAACTATAAACATCGCTCTTCTCTGTCAATTGCCCATAGAGCGCATACTCTGGGGCTAAGTAACCGTGTGTACCGGCCACTCTAGTAGTGAGATGAGACTGCCCTTCTCTGCTTTGCTTTGCTAACCCAAAATCAGCCACTCTAGCTCTCATATCAGCATCCAAAAGTATATTTGTGGCTTTAATGTCTCTATGATATATAGAAGGCTTGACTCCATAGTGAAGATAAGCTAACCCTTTCGCCACATCTAAAATTATGCTCTTTCTTTGAGGCCAGGTCAATGGCTGCTTCCTAACCATACTCTGTTTCTCAGACCAAAACAGATGATCATCAAGATTCCCATTTGGCATGTAATCATAAACAAGGTACCTCTGGCTTTCCCCATCTTCATACTCTCCATTTTCTTCACCAGTCACACAACAACCTCTAAGTGGAACCAAATTTCTATGCTTCAAATTGCTAATGATCTCAACTTCATTACAAAACTCTTCATTCCCCTGAAAATCGGATTCGATCACTTGTTTAACAGCAACCACAGTCCCATCTGACAAAGTCCCTTTATACACAACACCAAACCCCCCTCTCCCAATGAAATTCTTCTGCGAAAAATTCTCAGTTGCCTTGGAAAGCTCATCAATCTTGAACCAGATTGACCCCGTATTAGGCCTCATTCGCGGCCTCGATTCCAACTCCTCCGTATCCAACCCAAAACCAATCGCATCACTCTTATTTCCCCGTTTCTTATGCCAGCAATAATAAAAACCCAACAAAACCGACATCACGAAGGCAGCAACACAGGCTCCGGTGAGTCCAAACACCATAGCCAAATGAGTCTTGCTCGACCCAGATTGAGAGCCAATCGAAAGGCCCAAAATACAAGACATAGCACCAATACTTTCGGGTCCGAATTGATTGACAATTCCAGCAGCATACAAAATGGTCAAATAGAAACAATTAGTGGAGTGATTTTTGTTACCGTCGATTGCAGTGAGTTGGTTTTGAACTCGAAAACCAGCGGCAACACAGGCGTCGCAGGAGGTGAGATCGGTGAGATCGGGATGACAAGCGGTGTCGAGGGAAGTGGAGGAGCCGAGCTTGGAAACCCAGTCATGGGTTGTTTCGATAGAGGCACAGAAGTTGGGGGTGATGACGAATTGGAGGGGATCGAAGCAGAGAGAGGTGAGATTGGAGGAGAGAGAGAAGGAATTGAGCTTGGATTGGAAGTCGGAGAGGCAAGAGAGAGAAGTGGGGAGGTCTGGGAGGTGAAACAGAGAGGTTTCTTTGAGGTGTTGAGAGAGGGAGATTCCGTAAAGGCTGAGGAGGGTTTGGCAACACTGGGTTCTGTTGTTGGAGTTGTTGATTGGCATTTCTGGGTTGTAGTTTCTGCAATCAGAGACTGGCCATGGGACTCTCGAAACATAGCTTAGATTCATTGGACATGAAGAAGATGAAGAAGAAGAAGAAGAAGAAGAAGAAGATGAAGATGAGTTGGTGGAGGAGGGTGGTGGAGGAGTAGTAGCTGCTGCTGCAAATGATGGTGATGAGAGAGAAAGTAGAGAGAGAAACAAGAAAGCCAGATTCATCTTTTCTGTGTGTGTGCGCCGGTGAAATTCTTGGTCTGGGTTTGGTTTAGAGAGAGGAAGGATTTGAGAGGGTTTTTGTGATCTCAATTGATGAAAATTGATTGAGACTGCATACACAGTTGATATTTTTGTTTGAGATGATGAGATAGAGATGACCAGTAGAGTAGCAAGTCAAACTTGATTTTCTATGGAGTTTCCAGTGGCTGCTGAGGGAGGAGAAAGAGAGAGACCAATGAAATACCACCACCACACCACCATTAGATTCGCCTAGATGTTGGGTTTAACATAAAAATGGAGTATAAAATTGTAATTTATCGTGAATTAAAAATTAATGAAACTTTTTTTTGGTAATTATGTAGTAAAAGAGGTTTAAAATATCTTTCCGATTAGTTAAGATTCTTTAATGATTTTTTTTTTCTGTAATCAGAGAAATTTTTGTGTGTCGGAGTAAAAATTTCTTTAAATTAAATTTTTTCTGTAAAAATATTAAAAGATCTTAACTATTATAAAAATATTATATGTTTTTTATCTTATAAAATCTTAATATCAATGACCTAAAAAAAATCCCCTAAAACTTAAAAGTATTTTTTTCTTAATTTTAAAATAATTAATTCTTTTAATATTATTTCTATTTAATAAATTGTAAATATAAATTACACTTAATAATTTAACATAAATTTTAAAAATGAAATATAATAAATTATAAACAAGTTAGATGATCACGAGAAAATCTTTAAGTACTAATAGGGTGTGATGTTAGGTTTGAGTTAATAAAATGATCCTGATATTGTAATTGCAGAATTTAAGAACTTTTTAAAAGTAATTGTTGGAGATGAATTTTTAGATTTTGTACTCCTTCAGTAGTTAAAAATTCAAGACAACACTATTACGTTCCTAGAATAAAAATATTTTTAAAATATATATTTATAAATCACAAAATATTTTTAAAATATATATTTATGAATCACAATTATTTTAAATGTGACTCATATTTATCAATTTTAAATGTACACCATCTATATCCATTCTATTTTCAGGATAAAATTCATAATACAAACTCATGGTTCATTTAAGATTTCAATTAAAAATGGCAGAGTTGTACATGATCTGCTGATATGAATCACAATTTTAGCAGAATTTGGTTTATACGAATGTTTTCTCAAATTTGTAACGGTTTGTTTCTTAGAAAAATAAATAAATGGAATTTTTATTGATAAATTCTATTTAGAAGTATTTTAATTCAAGAAATCTATGAAAAAATTTTTTAACCCATTTAGTCCCATGTATGTATAGTTTTATTCCATAAAGTCTTTTTTCTTAATTTACACTATTTTTTTAAACACTTATGCCCTTATATTTAATTTTGATACCCTTATAAATATTTTTTGAACGGTTAGCAATTTTATGATGTGAACATTCATATTTTAAAATTCACATTGGTAGGAATGTAAAATTGGCCCGTAGGCGGCCCGAAACTCGGCCGCGAGCCGGGGCAGGCCCGGCCCGTTAACAATGTGAATATTCACATTGACATGTTAACATTCACATTAATATGAGTGTAAAATTGGCCCGCATCCCGTGGTGGGACAAAACCCGCCCCCGGCCCATGGGCGGCCCGAGACGGGCCCGGGATGGCCCGTTGATAATGTGAATATTCACATTGACATGTTAACATTCACATTAATAAGAGTATAAAATTGGTCTGCGGCCCATGAGCGGCCAAAAGCCCGTCCACGGCCCGGGGCGCGCCCAGCCCGGCCCGTTGACAATGTAAATATTCACATTGATATGTTAACATTCACATTGATAGGAGTGTAAAATTAGCCCGCACCCCGTGGCTGCCTTGAACCAGCCCACGGCCCGTGGGCAGCCCAGAGCGAGCCCGACCCAGCCTGTTGACAATGTGAATATTCACATTGACATCTTGACATTCACATTGATAAGAGTATAAAATTGGTCAGCGGCCTAGGGCGGGCCCGACCCGTCCCGTTGACAATGTGAATATTCACATTGACATGTTAACATTCACATTGATAAGAGTGTAAAATTAGTCTGCAGCCCGAGGCGGGCTTGGCCCGACCCGTGACAATGTGAATATTCACATTGACATGTTAACATTAACATTGATAGGAGTGTAAAATTTGCCCACTGCCCGAAGCTTGCCCGCGGCCCGGGGTAGGCCCGACCCAGCTCATTGACAATGTGAATATTCACATTGACATGTTAACATGCACATTGATAGGAATGTAGAATTGGCCCGCGACCCGTGGGTTGCCCGAAGCCCGCCCACGGCCCGAGGCAGGCTCGTTTGGGTCCAGGCCTGAGCATGTCCGAGACCCTAGGCTAGGGCCTAGGCCATCACTTTGAAGCCCGGTCCGGCCAATCAGTCCGCTTAAGGCCCATTCAAGGCTCGGTCCGAGGCCCAGCCCGCCCGAAGCGCAATGTCTTTTTTTGTGGAAAATAATAAAATTTTGGTAGAAAAAATTAAAAAGAATTAAAAAAAATGGCCAAGCCCGACCTAAGCTCAAGGCTAGGCCCAGGCCCACCGGCCCGACCTGAGGCTCAATCCATCGGCCCATCCAAAACCCGAATACCCTTGTGCTAGGGCTAGGGCTTGGGCCTAATTTTTTGGCCCTTGGGCCGGCCTGGCCCGGATTTTTTCGGACACCCACAAGGCGCGATATGGGCTGGCTCGGGCCTCTACGCATTGATGATATGAACATTCACATTGACGATGTGAACATTCACATTATGGGTATTTTGATAATTATGTCTCTCATAAGACTTATTGAAACATAAGAAAATAATGTGTACTAAATAGAATATAAGTAGATGAAAATGTTATTTTGATCTTTTTACCTCAAATAGGACTTAATGGAATAGTCAAAAAGAACGTAGGCTGCTCGAAGCCCGTCTGCGGCCCGGGAAAGGCTCATTTGGGCCCGGGCTCGAGCCTAGTCCGAGACCCTAGGCTAGTGCCTGGGCCATCACTTTGAAGCTCGGCCCGGTTAAGGCCCATTCAAGGCTCGATCCGAAACCCGGCCCGCGCCGAGGCCTAATGTCTTTTTTTGTGGAAAATAATAAAATTTTGGTAGAAAAAATTAAAAAGAATTTTAAAAAAATGGCCAGGCCCGCCCAAGCCCAACCCAAGCCTGAGGCTAGGCCTAGGCCCATCGGCCCAACCCGAGGCTCGACCCACCGGCTCGGGCCCGGACCCAAACGAGCCTGCCCCGGGCCGTGGGCGGGCCACGGGCCAATTCTACATTACTATCAATGTGCATGTTAACATGTCAATGTGAATATTCACATTGTCAGCGGGCCGGGTCGGTCCTACCCCGGGCCGCGGGCAAGCTTCGGACAGCGGGTAAATTTTACACTCCTATCAATATTAATGTTAACATGTCAATATAAATATTCACAATGTCACGGGTCAGGCCAAGCCCGCCTCGAGCTGCAGTCGGGCTTCGGGCCGCCCACAGGCTGCGGGCCAATTTTACACTCTTATTAATGTGAATATTCACATTGTCAACGGGCCGGGTCAGGCCCGCCTTGGGCCGCTGGCCAATTTTATACTCTTATCAATGTGAATGTTAACATGTCAATGTGAATATTCACATTGTCAACTGGCCGAGCCGGGCCCGCCCCGGGCCGTCCACGGGCCGTGGGCGAGTTTTGGGCAGTCACGGGGCGCGGGCTAAGTTTACACTCCTATCAATGTGAATGTTAACATGTCAATGTGAATATTCACATTGTCAACGGGTCAGGCGCGCGGGCGGGCTTTTGGCCGCCCATGGGCCGCGGCCCAATTTTATACTCTTATCAATATGAATGTTAACATGTCAATGTGAATATTCACATTGTCAACGGACCGGACCGGGCCCGCCCCAGGCCGCTCATAGGCCGCAGGCGGGTTTCGTGCCGCCATGGGACACGGGCCAATTTTACACTCCTATTAATGTGAATGATAACATGTCAATGTGAATATTCACATTGTCAACGGGCCGGGCCCGCCTCGGCCCGACTCAAATTTTTCCTGACACCCACGAGGATCGACATGGGCCGAACCCCTACACATTGACGATATGAATATTCACATTGACGGTGTGAGCATTCACATTAGGGGTATTTTGGTAATTATGTCACCCATAGGACTTATTGAAACATAAAAAAATAATGTGAACTAAATGGAACATAAGTAGATGAAAAGGGTATTTTGGTCTTCTTATCTCAAATAGGATCTAATGGAATAGTCAAAAAGAATATGAGTTGGATGGAATAAAGCTCTTAAAAAGTGGATTTATCAAAAAAGCTCCCTAAATAAATCACAATAAGATATTTTTCAGTTTTTAAAAATTATTTTTGACCTTTTAAAAGATAAAATAATATAAAAAGGAAAAATTATTTATAAGTCCTATTAGGGAGACTTATACTACATATGGTCCTACTAAAAAACTTATGTTCTCATAAGTCCTATGAGAAGTTTGTTGACACATTTACCCTCAATATTAGTTGTTAATATCATAAATAATGGTAAAATCATATATAGGAAATTGAATGTCACCATAGATCATGTCAATATAAACGTAACGTGACACCTATGATCTATGGTAACATGCAATTTCCTAGAAAATTGCATGTTATCATAGATCATATCTACATAAACGTAACGTAACGTGACGCCTATGATCTATGGTAACATGCAATTTCCTATAGGAAATTGCATGTTACCATAGATCATATCTACATAAACGTAACGTAACATGACACATACATAAACGTAACGTGACACCTATGATCTACAGCAACATTCAATTTCTTAGGAAATTGAATGTTGCCATAGATCATATCTACATAAATGTAACGTAACGCGATACCTACATAAACATAACGTGACACCTATGATCTATATCAACATTCAATTTCCTAAGGAAAATAAATGTTACCATAGATCATATTTATATGAAACGTAACGTGACACCAATACAAACCAACAACATTTTCACATTCAATTTAAAAAAATAAAAATTCATTAAATTTGCGAAATGTAAAACGTAACATGACACATTACGTTACGTTTATATAAGTGTCACGTTACGTTTATGTAGGTGTCATGTTACGTTACGTTTATATAGGTGTCACGTTACGTTACGTTTATGTAAGTGTTACGTCACGTTACGTTTATGTAGGATCTTGTGGAATACATTCCTATCTAAATAGGACTTGAGACTCTATAAGAAATTACACAGGACTTAACCTGCCAT